GGCGGCGATCCCCGGGACCCGCTCCGGGTAGCGCTGCCCATGCGCGGGCCAGCTCAGCTCTGAGCAAAGTGGCGCAGCTAGAAAGCAAATTCATAAATCGAAAAAAGCAGCTGGAGCTGCAAAATATTACCTCGGGTCAGAAGCCTTTGGAGGAAGAGTCGTTCTCGTCTGCTTACAGTCACGAACACAGTGCAAAGGGCAAGAAATACCTGAAGAATCGTGCTACTGCCAGTGGAAATAGAGCCCCCAGTAATGCCTGTTCTCAGGAAGAAGAAAGCATCCAAAACCCCCAAAACAAGGTTATGGTCAAACATCAGCTTGTTTTGGATAGTGATGAAGAGGAATTGAGAGAAATGATGGAGCACTCTTTGGAGTTTTCCAGTGGAAATGAGGATTCTAAATGGGGTGCAAAGGTAAACACACTTAGCTGGACTGTGATTCTTATTTGCAGTTCTATAAAATTGTATTAAATTTTAGGTAACTTTATACTCTGCTAACACCAGAACCTAAATTTTAATTCTGCATTTGTGGCTCACTCATGACTTAATTTCAGTTCACGTTTTAAAATTATTAGGTTTTAGCCATTATAATTTGTATTCCTTTTTAGTGATCTACACAGGATAAATGAAGTAACACTTAACTCTCTTTTTCATGTTCTCCAAAAGAGCAAGGCTCCCATTCTGGCAGGAGTGCCTCGGCCATCTCATAAGGCAATGTCACCAACAGAGGCACCTAAAGCATCTTCTTTTCATAGCAAAGACTCGAGGAAGAATTATTTTGGTGGAGTTACTTCACCAACACCTTCACCAGCCCACAGAAACTCGTCAGTACGACACAACATGGGATCTCCATCACTGTCTTCCTTCATGAAGGACAATGCTGTGAAGGTGCCTCTGCCTGGGAGAGGCAACACCAAGCTAAGTGAAGCATCGCTTGAAAGCGACAGGAGTGAGATAAAATCATTAGATGAATTGTTTTCAAAAGCAGCTGATGACAAAGATTCAATTAGCAGCAGCTCGAATGGTAAGTTGGTTCTAAAAGATTGTCTCAGATTTGGTGTGAGTTGTACCAGTAATTACTGATAAATTTACTAATAAACATGGGCAAATACTTTGAAAGGTTTCACTGGTGTAATTTTACATAAACTGAGGCTTTATCAAAGGAATTGGGTTGGTCTATTTCCTTTTTCTAGCACAATATACTTAAATTTTTCTTGCTTTTTGATTTCATGGGCTCAGTTTAATGATGCTCCCCTGGGCGATGCTTAATTACGATCTCAAAACAATTACAACATTTAGAAGAGTTCTCATCTATCAGTGGGACAATGCATTAATGGGTCTGAGAGAGACAAAAAGCACAATGAGGGGTGGCAGCAGTCTCCTGAACTGGGGTGCAGCAGATCCACCAGCAGACAGAGGAGGAAACTTTAGGAACTCTAGAGCTGCTGCTACGTTAAAGTTTCAGACTGATTGACTGATTACTTTTTAGTGTCCCACTTTAAACTAGGGATGCAGTACTGATTTATCTTTTTTCCCCCCACTTTTCTCACAAAGGGAAAGCATATTGTAATTTTCATGCAAATTCTCATGACAATGTGTCATTTGATTGCAGACTTCAGACTGAATATCCGGAGCCTTGATGATCTGGCACCAGATATCTCCAGTGAGGCAGCAGAACTAAAGCAGAGAGTAAGTAGAAATTCCCTACTAGCACAAATTTCTGCCTTCTTTTTTGATGGAGCGTGGATATTCTAAAACAAGTACTTCTGCTCTCCTCAGAAGCTGCCTAAGATGGGCATATCTCACTACCTGTAAAGGTTGGGTCAGGATTTTACAGTCCAAATTCTTTTTTTAGCATCTGCTTTTCCTCACTAAATGTAACAGCACTGCACAGTTTGCAAGGTGACACAGAAGAGCAATGTTTTTGTTTCCCAATAAAGCATTTGCTGACTCTCAGGGATATGCAGCAGAGCAGATGAACAGCAGAGGCATGTTCTGGGCTGTATTTTGTCAATCCTACCATACAGCTGTTCTGTTTTACAGGGGATGGATGTTCTAATTCCCCAGGAATCAAACAGAAATCCAAACCAAGATGCATTGCTGGTGGAAAAAGACCAAACTTCTCTTAAAACAACACGTGCAGTAACTGGTGTGAATGATGCTTCTGAAGGGGACACTGAAAAAACTGTGACTGAAGCAGAAATATCTGAGCATTTAAGTGGCGTTTCTGCAGCAGCCTCTAGACACAGACAGGATTCCCTTGATCACGATGAGAGAACTGTGAATTCGGAATATTCCGAAGACTTTGAAAGCTCTCTGCCTACATCAAGCAGGGAATCTGTATGGAAGAGGTCAGAGGAGTGCTGGGAGAGCTGCAGGAGTTCTGGGAGACACTGGTCTGCAGCAGCAGCAGCGCCCCGTGGGCGGGCACCCCAGGTCCCCCTCACAGAAGCTGCCACCCAGACTGGGGACCCTCCCCCTGCCTGTTCCTGCTCAAAGAGTAAGGTCACAAGAGATGCCCTGTTGGGGCAGTTTTCCCTGTTTATATTCTGTATGCTCTCCTAGTCAGCCCTGCTCCAGTTCTTGGTTTCAGCACCAGCTTCCCCAAGCTGGCGTTAAAAACTTTCTAAAGCCCAACACTTCTGTCTGCTCTCTGTAGAAGAGGTTGGGACTGGACAGCAGCATTTTGGGGGCTGACTGAATTCTCTGTTAGGCTCTAGGGTGATTCTGCAGCACCTGATGTCCCAAGAGACTGCTGGAGATGAACTGAGTCCTGTCACTAAACCTTCCAACCCCAGTAATTCTGATTTTATCCTGCACACAGCAAACGCCTCGGCGGTCCCTGACCCACCCACAGGAAACTGGTACATTGATCCAGTACCCATCACCAGTCACATCATCAACAGGGATGCAGTAGAAGGTACTGAAAGACATGATTCTTACCAGTTAGTTTTGCTCCATTTTATGCATCTAGGCCCTGCATGGGTTGTTTGGCTCTTACTGTCTGACTGTGATGTAGCACTGAAGTGTTTACTCTCCTTTCTCCCAGCCTGGACAACGTACAGCCCATCAGCTCTTGTTTTAAACACCATGTTGAAACAGCACTTGATGTTGACTCAGCAGTTTGTAGAGAACATTCACCACCTTCACTTATCCCTTGTGGAGTCACTAGAGAATGAGAAGTTCCACTACCATACCCTGGAAGAGGCTAAAGAGGTATTTGTGAGAGACTAGACAGCACCCCAGACAATTATTTCTTTATCTAAACACTGCCAGTAGTTGCTGCAAACAGATTTTCTTTGCATATCATTCATGAATTGGATAAAGTTTGTATTATCATTGACTAAATTATGCCATAGAAGAATAGTATTGTAATTCTTGTGCCCATGTCAATAACAGGTCAGTTTATACCATAAAAAAACTGAAGCCATACCAGAGGCTGTAGTTTTGACTTTTTCTGCTGTAGCATTTAGCTGGCCTCAAATGAGCAAGGATCTTCCTGATGCTGCAACAGGGGGGTTGGTTTCTGTTGCTAGTATAGAAAATAGCAGGTATAGTGACATGAAGATTTATTAAATACCAGGAAGGATTTATCTAAAGAAACATCTGACTTTTTTTCAGTACATCAAGAATCACAGATCCCCACCTCTGACAATGGAGCAAGCACGTGAAGAAGTTCGGAGAGCACAGGAGGAGAAACTGCTCTGACCCTTTGAATTTTAAGCAAAAATGACATTTCAGCATTTCAAGCTGGAACGAGGACCCATTCCAAATTACTGGAAGGATTTGTACTAACTGCTATGTATCTTATTATGCACAGTTTATTTTCCTACATCTTGAATTTTTTACTAATGTACATGATAAAGGGCAAGGAACCTGCAGCCAATGTCAGTGTTCAGCCAAAAGGAAACAGAGAAAATGTTTCTCTGAAGGGACTGTGGTACATCACCACAGGTTTGCTGTGTGATCTGTGATCATGGTAGTGGTGGAAGTCTGTACTACAGCACCTGGGGAATATGATCACAGCAGAAAAACCACCTCCTGATTTTAGAGCCATATTTCAACAGCTTTAATGTGTAATTAGCCTTGCCAGATTATTACACAACCAAACACAAAGGTAAGTGGCTTATAGCCAACTGTATGAGAATCTATTTACTCTGAAACAGGAGTCACAGTGTTATTTTTATTTTAAAAAAAAAGTGTTTATTGGAAGGCAAAACAATAAAACTCACAAGTTGGTAACATACAGGTGTCGTATGCTGATTCACAGACAGTTACAGTTCCACAACTACTGCAGATCTAGAACAAACTGAGATTTCACCACATGAACTGGGTGGGTTTCAGAGGGTCTCTGCTATACAAACAAAGGGTGCTGGAAGAGGCGACCACCATGCAGACCTGGGGAGTGGAAGTGCAGTGTAAGGGCCTAACATCTGTAGCTGGTGGTCTCTGGAAACAGTTACAAAAGGGTGGGGGGGTTGGTTTGGGGTTTTTCTTTCTCTCATATAGATTAAAGGAAGTTTCCAAGAACGTTTCATTGTTAGAAACCTGCAGAGCAGAGAAAATCGATTCTCTTCTAGTGAACTAATCAGCTTTTATTAAAGGGTATATACAAAAATATAAAAAGCTTAAAGAATGTCTTCCATTACAAAGCGTTGAACATCCCTCAGCGCGTGAGAAGCTAGAGCAGTGAACCCTCGTGTTCTGAGCAGAGTGGTGACTGCAGCAGCTCGTGTGGAGGGGGGTTAAGGTGGGTGGCAGGTTCTAACAAGCTCGCACAGTGCTCATAGGTCACCTGTACTGGATCTAGATGCTTCATTCCCCTTTTAGACATTAGGATACACTGCTCAGCATCAGTCTGACTTGATCCCAAGGCAGCACCCCTCCACTTCAAATAGAATTAACCTTTTGAGAGAAATAATAAACATATATTATGGAACTAGAGAACACGCAACCAACATCAGATAATGTCTGTATTCCACAGGAACGAACAAACACATGAACAAACCACAATCCTGCACCAGGGAGAGCTTGGCTGGGGTTGGAGTCTAGTATAAAATGGCTAACTACTTAAAAAAACTTGCAAAAATGAATGGAAATTCTTAAACTTGCTAGACATGTCAGAGTAACAACTGGCCTTTTTTAAACACTAAACGACAAGTGTTGAAGCACATGTCATAGCTTTCCATTTTTCACCATAGTTTTAAAAGTAATTCATTTGTCACTTCCTCCAGACTTTAATCCGGATTTATACAAGTTTAATGTTTTGTAGAAGATGCAAGACATCTTTCTTCAGAGAGTCTTATTCGGGTGGTGGAGGGTCTGGCGTGTCACGCTTCACTGAAACAATAGGGAAAAGAGTTCTTACACATCCTGCAGTCACCTACACTCTCTGACACGTTGTGTGGAATGAGGGCTCTGTTAATAAGGAATTCTTCCTTTTGGGCTTTAGTTGAACCCATTTCAGGACACGGATCTATTGCATCCAGAGGCAGAAGTGACTTTTCACTCAGCATGCCAATTTTTTTCCTTCTAGTCATCGGCAAGTGTAGTTGTTCTACACAACACAGACTCTCTGCAAAAATCCATCGTTTGGGTAATTATCTTTATCTCTGAAGAAGCACCTCCACTTTTTCTGAATCCTTCCTGCCCTGTGGTGAGGCCAGTGGCAGTTCTGGCTTGGGCAGAACCCAGCACTCATTGTAGGAAACCTGGAGTTGGGCAGGGCTAAATGTTAAGCACGGTCCAACTTCATTCCATCCACCCCGCCTGCAGCGGGGCTCCCTCTGCTACCTAGGAGATAAAACTAGATTCTGAAGGGTGACACTCAAAGATGCAGGTTCTTGGTACTACAGACAGCAAGTGGCTGATGCAGAACAGGCTAATTAATTGTTTCAAAGTTACAACACAACACAACTTCCTCCAAAGGAAAAGATGCCGCGTTAATCAGAGTATGCATCCACCTACCTGTTGGTTTAGTGTGTCCATTACATTAGCAAGGATTGTTACCAGGCTTTTGATTTGAGTTTAGAGTTTACAGTAAACAGGACAAAAATCACTCAACTCTGCACAGTTAAAGATTATTTAGAAAGATTCACTTACATTCATCTCTGGCCTTCATGCGTGCGATAAACGAGTAACTCTTATTTCTCCGGTAGTTTTCGTAAGGGTCATCCAAGGCAACTCCCACTCCTTTGTACTGATCCCACTTGTCTCGGATATCCCCTCCTTTAATTGGATCCTGAATTCCTTGTTCCTTGGCTCCCAATCCACCAGATCCACTCCATCCTGCAGAAAGGCCACACAATTGCAATCCTGTAACTCTTTTTTATTACTACGATTCTGAAGACAGACAAGCACTTTTTAGAAACAACCTAAGAAAGCATCAATCTGATGTAGCAGGATGGCAACAGCCAGCCTCAAACAACATACAGGCTGTCCCATTTACTTCAAAATCATTAAGACACAAAGAGGAGACACTGGGAGCTGACAAACATCACCACAATCCCTAAAATCTCCTGGGAGGGCAAGGGGAAAAACAAAGCAAACCTGTACCATGTTCTCTGCATTTAGCTCTCTGACTTTGGAATATGAAGGGATAATCACTTATGAACATGACTGAATTAATTATATCCATGAGTTTGGTGCCCGAATTTATTTCCTGGCCTGTGTGAGATTCAAGAACAGCATCTTACCCATTTTCACTAGCATTTGATGGCCTTTATTTTCTTCTCCAAGCCTTGACTCTGGTATAGGAGGCCCAGAACTGGAGCCCAAACCAGCAGAAGAACTAAGGAAATAAAAAGAACAACTGAAGAACAAGTGATGCTGTTCTGACACATAGCAAGGTCACTTATTCTGTTAAACATTAACACCCAATATAATCCCATCCACTCTGCTAAGACACTTTATAAAAGTGCTTGGATTAAGGGGTTATAAAGTTGGCAGGAACACTCTACCTGCTTGTCAGAACAGGTACTATGAGAGTACTTGGAGGATTCCTCCTGCTTCCCCAGAATGCATACAGAGCCTTCCCAGCTGCACAGTGCTTTGTCACAACAAAAAGCCACCCCCCCAGAGTAACACCCTCTCGATAAGCACACACAGAGCACATAAATCACCTCCAAATCTGCCTGCCATCTCCTTTGCTACTTTGCTGAAGTGCTGATCCCACCCAGCTGATGAGAAAGCACCCTGTTGGGATTTAAGAGAGCATAAGGACAGAGCAGCTTACGGAGGCGTGGGGCTGCGGGAGCGGGACCGGCGTCGCCTCCCCGGCGAGTAGGACTTGGACCTGGAGCGCGAGCGCGACCGGGAGCGGCTGTGGGAGGAGCGGGACCTGCTGCGGCTCCTGCAGACAGAGAGAGCAGGAGATGGACACGGAGCTCAGCACCCAGGGCTGGTCATCACCCCGCTCCCCAGGGTCGGCCCCCTGCACTCTACCTGGACTGGGAGCGGGAGTAGGAGCGCGAGCGGGAGCAGGAGCGGGAGCGGGAGCGCGAGTAGGAGCCGGACGACTTGGAGGAGCGGGAGTTGGAGCGGGAGGACGAGCGGCCGCGGCTCTTGGAGCGACTGCGGGAGCGGGAGGGCCCGCTGCAGAGAGAGCAGAGAGACCCCCTGAAACTCCTGCCAGAAGCTCACCACACGCACCTGTACTTCTCATCACGTTCCTGGCACACAGGCACTGCGTTTCTGCAGCCCAGTGAGACCTTGAGTGTGGCAAACCCTATTTTCTGCAGATCAGAGAAATTTCAGTGAGTCTGAGCTCTATTATTCCATCGGCACATTGCTGAACAGACTCGCACTCTGCATTTAGCCTCCCAAGGCCCTCCAAACACCCAGCACGCAGCAGAAGGCAGCAGACAATCCCTCACCTGTTTCTCTTCTCCTGACCTTTCCTCCGCCTCGCTCTCATTTTAGCTCTGAAGAACTCGTACAGCCCATTCTGCTCCCAGCCTTCACTGCAACAAATCAACCACATGCAGAATCAACACCCGTAAAATTTTACTTTGAGCAAACGGAGACAATTCAGGATTTCCACTGGATTTGTAGGGAACAAAGGGCCTGGGCAAAAAGGTCTCACAAGTCTCAGCGTAAGATCAAACAGGGTGTGCAGTTGAAAATACAAGAGCACTCGTTTCAGCATTAGAAAAACCAAGACACAGGCGAAGGAAGAAAGAGGCACTTTGTGGTTTGAGACAGCTTCTTAGGGCATTTTCCTTACCATATTGTCAGCTATACCTACTCTTACCTGTTTCTAGGCCTGTCATGAGATGGTGGACTATAAAATGCCTCAACCGCAGCCAGAAGTCTCTCACTGGGGGGCATTGGGGGTGGAAGACGTATATCTTTAGGATCTAAAGGTTTATACTCATGATCTTCAAGCTGCCGGAAACAAAACAAATTACATTCGTGTCATGTGTCATGGGGTGGCTACCTGAAGAGAAAAATATAGGTTTAACTGTGGAGGGACCTCACATTGCACTAGTGGATCAAAAACGGTCCAGAAAGGAGCATCCTGCAGATGACCCAACACCTGCTCGTGCTAGCACTGCCACTCTGAGCTCTATGAGAAGAGTCAGGGCTACACGAGTTGCAGCCTTAACTGGCTCAGCAGGTAGATAAAAGCCACATCTCCTCTGTTCACCTCTCCTGGCTGGAAGCCTGGCAAAAGCTGGTGTATGCAGAGTGACACAAAGAGATGGAAG